AATGGCCTGGTTAACCCATACCTTCCTTACATTAGATATTATTAATATGTTTACCAGCTAAATACTATGCATGTATATGTATCTTTCTACGACCATCTATTCTTATCCTCTGCCCCCTCTCCTAATTAGTTGCTGGTCTTTTTTTCTTACTAATACGTAAGCCTTCTGTGACATATATGTTAAAGACTTTTTTGGTCCAGTCTTTTCACTTTATTATGGTCTTCTTTTGCCATGTAAATTTAGTTATTCTTTTCCTTTTGGCTTCTGGGTGGGATGTTTCTTCTCTTCAAGATTATGAAAATACTCCAGTATTTTATTTCATTTTAAGATTCTGATCCACCTGAATATTATTTAGTAAAAGATTCAACATTTCCTCTCAAATGCATGCTGTTCCAACTCTATTTATTAAATAAGTAATTATTTGTATTAATTTGAAATGTTACCTTGATCATCTACCAGAGAATCAAATATACGGTTTATTTTCTATGATCTAGTAACAGATTTCTAGGCCAATACCCTAAAACTACTATAACTTCATAAATTTTGATGAGTCCAGCCTCATAATTTTTCTTTTTACAGATTTTTCCAGGCACCTCTGCCATGTTATTCTCCAAAATAAACTTCAGTTATTTATGAACTATCTTCTTAATAAATAAATAACAAACAAAATCTCATTGATATTCTGATTAGGATCACATCAAACTTAAAAGATCACTAAATAATATTGAGTTTTTTAAGAACATGGCACTTTTTTCCATTTATTCACATCTTTTAAGTCATTCAGGAGAATTTACATTTTCTTCATATAGATCTTTCATATTTCTTTCAACAGATTTGAGTAGCTCCGGGTGAAAGTGAACATAAAGTTATAGACCCTACAAAGAGTTGTGGTAAAGGAATTACCTCTGAAAAAGCCACTATTTTAAAGTAGTTTGGGATCTGCTCCAAAATAAGCAGGAGAGCCAACATTTTCCTTATCAAGCTCCTCTATTTTTAACCGAGAATGTCAACCTTGCTTTGGATCAACTTATATAAGCCTCCCTGAACTTAACTTTATTGATTACAGCTATCTACTATGATATTCCTACAAATTCACTAGTCCTCTAAAATTCATCCCCATTGCATACATTTCTGACTTCATCTCACTTTGACTATTCAGTGAAAATTACAGTCTTAGAAAAATTCACATAATTTCACATATAATTTTAGGAGATTCAGTCATACTGGTGAAAATGCCTGCCATAAAGCATGTGTGGATTAGAATGAACCTATTCCAGCCAGCTGTTACAATCACCTGCTGACAGTTCTACAGAGTAATTCAGGTACAATGGCACATTCATCACACTTCATATGTGGGCTTTTAAATTTAAAACTTTTTTTTTTTTTTAATAAATATAGACTTTATAGAAAAGTTACAAAAACAGTACAAAAGTCTTCAGATTCCTCAAAAGTTAAAACATTTATTTTAAGCAACATGAACTTGAGATTTTGACTATATTGCAGCTCAAGTTGCTTAAACAAGCAATCAATTTAATAACTAGGGAGTATTAATAATAGTCTTAGTACAAGACCAACTTCTCATATCAACAATTCCAAAATCTCCAAAACTGAAAGATTTTTAACTCCTTCAGCAGCAAAACCTGAGTTGGTCTACAGTCATTATTTACCCACTATAAGGTAAACATTTATAGGTTTCGCTGTACAAATAGTACTATCTGACTACACAGTGTTGTCCCAGACCTATGAGGGGTGAATGGAATACACAGTAAATGTGGCATATTCCTAAGGATATCAGTGAAGGGAATGTAAATCTTTAATGTCACTGTATATTATTTACTATGTGCCAAGTACTACTTTAGTTATTAATATTTCATTTAATCCTCTTAATAACCTGGTAAGTCAAATCTTGCCCTAGGTCACCTAATGTACATCAAACAGTAGAGGAAACATGCAAATCTACATTTATCTGAGTCAAAGCTATAACCAACTTTTGAAAGTTAATAGAAAAAAAGTATTGAAAACTAGTCTCTTAGAATACTGGGGACATGGGAGCTGAATAGAATTATTTGAAAAAATTTCATTTCCTTTCTCCCCTCTTTCCAGCAAATACCATTGCAATCATCTAAAACCTTGCTTATTTTCATGTGCATAGCTGGTAAGACATAAGTATCTCAAACAAGGTACCTCTAAATGTCTTTTTTTCATTTTTTCCTCTTAAAGGTAAAATATAAGATACCAGAATCCTGATTCTATCTACATTAATTATCTAGACCAAGAAAAGATTAGAACTATACATTCAATAAGTATGTCTTCTGTATTCATCTAAATCAGGGGTTCTCAAATGGCAGTGATTCTGCCTCCTGCAGTGGACATCTGGCAATGTCTCAACAAGAAATTAAAAATCCAAGAGCTCAACCTCTCTAATAAAGCTGCCCACAAAAAAGTTTGATAATATTAAACTAAAGTTAAGGTATAACTAAAACAAGCACTCATACTTTTTTGATGAAAGTACAAAGTGGTAATGTTTTATGGAGACAAAGTAGAGTTTCTCTCAAAAGTTTAAATACATTGTACTCTTTAATCCAGTAATTATGCTTTCTAGGAATTGATCCTACAGAAAGTCAGGTAAACACACAAAACAATTTGTTCAAGGCTGTTTAGTACAGTGTTATTTATAATAATTAAAAACAGACATAAAATGTTCATGAATATGGGAATAATTAAATAGGATATAGTCAAAGGTGGAATATCCTGCTTAAAAATAATGAGGTGTAGATTTGCATTAGCAAGAAAAGAGGTTCACAAAGTACTTCTATATGGAAAATCTAGCTGCAGGAAAAAATGATGTGTATTTCTCAATAAAAAATTAATGTTTAACCTGGGCAGAGTCATGTCACTTTATGTAGTTTTATTTAAGTATTTTATATTGTGTTTTACTTTTTTAGATGAATAAAAGAGAAAACATGATTAGAAGGAAACATTACAAACTTTTATTAGTGCTCACCTCTAGTTAGTGGAATTACAGGTGGAATCCTTCCTTTAAACTGTTTAATGACACAGATGTATTATTTATGTAATACCTACTATGAACTGATTCCTTCCCACATGCCAGTTACTGCCTATGTGAATTAATACGCTAAAAGGCCACAACTACAGGGTAGCTATCATAAGCTCCATTTTGCAGATGGTGAAAGACTAAGAAATGGATTCTAAGCCTATTATTACATACTATGTTGCTAACCTCCTCCTGGGAAACACTATAAATGTAAGAAAACCAATCCCAAATCTCTATAAATTTATGAGCAAAAGACTAATGCAAGAAAAATCTGATTTGCCATTTCAGAGACCTAGGGAGTTTCAAAACAACCAAAAATATACTAAACCTGGAAAATATACTGTGTAATATTCTTGGTAAAAACATCCCACATACATTCATGTATCTAGAGACACAAAAATGTTATACTTGAGGCCATCTGCTTTTCATTACTGAGAACTAATCTCTGATTACAATCATTCTGAACAGTTTCTTTCAAAAAACAGGAACACATTTTGTATTTGAGAAGGCACTAACCAGTTACCATAAACTTCAAATTACGGCAATTTCTACATACGTCAGTTTCAAAATGCACAAAGGAATCATCTCACACTTGATAAATGCAAGGCAATACTACTTTTTTTTAAGACAGGGTCTCATTCTGTCACCCAACTGGAGTGCAATGGCATGATATCAGCTCACTGCAACCTCTGCCTCCTGTGCTCAACTGATCCTCCCACTTCAGCCTCCAGAGTAGCTGGGACCACAAGTGGGTGCCACTGCACCTAGCTAGTTTTTCTATTTTTAGTAAAGATGAGGTTTCACCATGTTGCCCAGGCTGGTCTCAAACTCCTGGCCTGATCCACCTGTGTCAGCATTACTTTACTTTTGGAAGACAACCAGAAAAAATGAAAAACCATTTTTACAAGTATTTATGTCTTTTACATAATAAATGGACAATGTCATCTTCTAATTATGTTAACAGAAAAAGTAGAAGTTTTACTAGAATAATGATAATTCTGATGGCTTTGTCTTTTCAGTTTATGGAAGAGTACAACTGGAAAGGCACCTTAGAGTTTACTTGGCCCAACTCCCCACATCATACAGCTGAGGCCCAGGGAAAGTAAGGTGATTTGTTCAAGGCCCCACGGTTACTAAGAGGCTGAAAAAGGAGCGACTCACTCAGGTTTTTAAAAATTCTAAATAAAAAATCTTGACTTCCTTCTGAAACGTATTATCTAATAATTTAGTTGGCTACTTAAAGTACTTTGGGATCCTATTCTCCTCTGTATTCTTGGGGCCTTTTCAACTCAACATTTTTCAGACAGCAGTAAACTAATCTGTTACATTGTCTATACTCAAAAGAATTCAAAGTCCCCTTCTTCTCCATTGACAGCTTTTAAATGAAATCTTATTCAGAAACCCAATGCAGAAAGAATATAAAAGCAGAGCTGCCTTGATTAAAACACACAGGAGTCCTGCTTTTACTTGCTGTTTTGTCCTGGAAGCCCCTGAAATACTTTCTTGGCATCTTAGGTCTCAAAGAGACAGTTTATTTCTAAAGTATGAGAGTGTTCTAGGGTGCTGCTACTCAAAATATGTTTCTCAAACAATCAGCATCACTCAGGAGTTTGTCAGAAATGCACAATATCAAACTTCAACCCAGGCCTACTGAAAAATCACAACAAGCATATTTAACAAGATGCGTAGGTCACTGAAAGACACATTAATGTTTGAGAAGCTTCTCAAATGATATGAAGAAACATGCACACAGACACACACACACACTCTGCAAACCCAAATTTTTATTAAGAGTTACATGACACACAAGTTATCTTGTCATGGACCAACAACAAACAGTTTACAGAATCACACTTGGGGTAGCAACGCTCTATAGCAACCAAACCTTAAACAGTGATCCTGATCAAATCAGAACACCTGATATACTAAAAAGTTAGAAACTTACTTCTTATCAAAAAATGTTGAATTCTCCTTCCTCTTGGTGAATCCATTGGGTAGAAGTTTTAAGTTAATACCTTGCCTTCGGGCACGATTTTTCATAAAGTACATCTATCAACCAAAACCAAACAGACAAATTAATTTTTAAATGCTTTAAATTTAAAAAGTGAGTAAAACAATTGTTCAATAATAGTTAAGATTTACTGAAAACTTAAGTGTTACAACAGCTCTAAGAAGTAATGTCATGTAATCTTCACAATGATACTATCAGAATAGGTATTATCATCTCCATTTTAGCAATAAGAATTAGCGAGATACCAACATCATACAGCTATCCCAGAAAGAACCTGTATTCAACCCAGGTCTAATTCCAGAGCTTGTGATTTTAACCATATGTGCTACGAGCCAAAGAATAATTTAATGGAGATTAAAACAAATAAACAAACAGGTCATTTGGCAATCATAGGGGCTACCTACACAATTCTTGATTGCTTTTACGGATGGTTTTACCAGTTAGTTGTATGTATCCCTGATTTTATTACTAGACAATTCACTCAAGGGAAGAGCCATGGCACTGCCTAGTACAGGCCTAGCTTAAAGCAGCCACTGTTGTGGGAAGCACAAAATGGGATATGACAATATTCTTGCTCTGACATGTGTACTACATTGACCACGTGGGTTGATTAAGCTAAACTGGAGAATTCCAGAGTTATGAAGGAAGTAATACCAGATTTTTATTAAGTCAAGGAAGAAGAAAGATCACTCACAGAAAAGGCAAAGTATAAATGCAAGTTTTTTGTTAAATGAATAGGGATCTAGAATTTGCAATGTAAATAGTCAGAATCAAGTCATGAGCCAAGGGAAAGAATGGGTCAGCTATCACTGGATAAGTAGGAAACTGTCTGAAGAAATTACATGTAATTTTGTAACTTAGAGGACTTTGGTTTCAGTAATGATATTGATCAATCCTCCTACTACACCTTCAGGAAAAGGGTAAACCAGAAACAATCACTACTTTTAGAGCAAGCTAGGGAACTTGTATGGTTACACTGAAATAGAGGAAAAAAGAAAAAAAGTCCATCAGCAGCTATGGCTATGGGCTATCCTTTCCTTAGATTTGCAATTATTTTGCCTTGCAAACAGCAACGAATAGCCAAACACTAGAGAAAAGGAAGTGGGAGGGCATAATCAGATAACAAGTTTCAGTAAAAAACTAAAATAATTGAGAGAGCATAGTATTGGTGCAGGATAGACCAGTAGGTCAATGGAATGGAAAAGACAAGTCCACAAAATAACCCAAGCATATAGGCATGCTGATATATAACAAAGGTGGTCCTACAGAGCAGTAGGGAAAGGATGAACTTTCCAATAAATGGTGCTGGGAAAAGTGGATTATCTATATGAAAAACTAAATGGGACCTTCTCTGTACATGATACCAAAAATCAATTCCAGTTAAAGACATAAGTATAAAATGCAATAGTATAAAGCTTTTAGGCAATAATTATGAGGGAATAACTTCCTAACTCTCATCAGGAATTAGAGAACTGCACATTGAAAACCATAATAAAATTACATAGCAATAGATTGACAAAAATTTTTAAAGTCTTACCAAATTAAGTATTGGTGAGAATAGGACAATAGGTACATTTATACACTACTGGTGCGAGTGTAAACTAGTATAACACTTTGGAAAATGTTTTGGTAACATCTAGGCAAACTGAAGATATGCATACCACACAACAAAGCAATTCTATTCTCAGGTATAAACCCTAGAAAAACATCGTCACACATATAAATATCAGGGAAGGGCATAAGAGGGTGGCATGGAACTTCTGGGAAGCCAGTAATGTTCTAATTCTAGACTTGGGTGGTAGTTACATGAATGTTCATTTTATAATTATTCATTATACTGTGTATTTCCATTCTGTGATTTTCTAAAAAAAAAAAAAAAAAAACATGCTATATTTTACAATTAAAAAAAAGTTTTAAAGTAATTTATGTTTAAGTAGAATTTTAATTGTGCCTAATTGAGTTTGAGGAAAAATAAGAGTTGCTGTATAAATAATTTTCTTTCAGATATATGTAATATAATACCAATAAAAAATGCCAATACCAATAAAATAAAGTGTTTAAAAGGTATTAAAATTCTGCAACTCCAGTACTAAAATGAACACAATTGCAGGATATGATTTAATGACACCATGAACGAATTTTTACACCACCAGTTGCCAAACATTCCAAATATGTGAGCTTTACTTTTGCATAGTATTTAAGGAATGAAAAAGGCAATGCAAGAGTATGAAAATTAAGTGTATTACAATAGCAAGTCTTAGCTTTTCCTTCAAAATCAGAATCTAATCCCCTCTCAATAATTCTAACAGCCACTATTATCTCACAAGGATCATGGGAAGAGCTGCATAAATGGTCTCCCTGCTTCCAATCTTCCACTCTTGCCTCCCTGAAGTCCACACAGCAGCAAGAGTGGTTTCCAAAAGGCAAATTTATGTTTAAAATCCTTCCATGGTTTCCATTTGCACTTAGAATTAGAAGCCCTCACCAGTTTCTTTTTCTTTCTTTTTCCTTTGAGACAGTTTCACTCTGCTGCCCAGGCGGGGGTGCAGTGGTGCAATCACAGCTCACTGCAGCCTTGATATTCCTGGGCTCAGGTGATCCTCCCACTTCAGCTTCCCAAGTTGCTAGGGGTACGCCACCATGCCTGGCTAATTTTTGTATTTTTTTATAGAGACGGGTTTTTCACCATATTGTCCAGGCTGTTCGCGAACTTCTGGGCTCAAGCAATGCTCCAGCCTCAGCCTCCCAAAGCATTTGGATTACAGGAATGAGTCTCTGCACCCAACTCCTCACCAGTTTCTCTAACTTCATGTTTAATACTCTCTTTCTCACTCACTATGCTTCAATCACCCTGCCCATCTTTTAATTCCTCAAACACAACATCCTTGTTTCTGACTCAGGTCTCTTCTTTTACTTTTGCCTCTAATTGGAATAATCTTCCTCCAAATGTTCACATGACAGCCTCTTTCTCATCATTCAAATCGCTGCTTACATATCATCTCTTAGAGAAGCTTCTCCTGACCACTGTATTGAAAATGGTACCCTGACAATCTCTTCCCCAAAGACCATTTTCATTCTCTCTTTCATCTCTTGAGCCTTCTTTATTTTCTATATGAACTTAACTCTATCTGAAATTATATTTGTTCCTCTACTCGTCTCCTGTATCTCCCACTAAATACAATTCCACAAGGGGAAGGACTTTACTTTGGTCACAGTCACATCCTTATGTAATCAGAATAGCCCTACATCATAGTAGCCACTTAATATATTTGGTAAGTCAAAAAAAAAAAAAAAAAAGAATCTAATTGATTGGAAGGACTTCTAACTGCTAACTGGAAGGAATTAAAAAAAGTCTTACATGTTTATTGCTTATTGGTCTTTTCAAAAAAGCATCTCTAGAAATATGGTCCGCTGTTCTTGCCACATCTTCCAAAAAACGATAATCTAAAAATTTCAAAACAGAAGAATAAATAAATGACATATACCAATGGTCAGGGAGCATCAATTTGCTATGCATGAAGTGGCTTACCACTTAGGAGATTCATTTCAGTAAACTGTTGTATCGAAATGTATGCGGTTTTATCTCGAACTCCATTACATGTCAGTTCTGTTTTGTGTTTCTTTACACAGGGCAAACTGAGGAGACAAAGGGGAAGCACTTTTATATTTTAGGGTAAGAAAGGTACACATACAGGTTAAAAGGTAGGAAGTTACATGTATACCTGCAGGAATACCGCATACAACGTGGACATCTGTACTTTGCTTCTTCTGTACCACACGTTTCACACCTACAAAAACCCACATGTAACATTAAATTATCAAATATTAATTCTACTTATTTATAAACTTAGAATGTCCCAATCAATTTATAAATGTAGTGACAACTCTGATAAAGTATTTGACAGCTGCTGAACATCATTTGAAAATTCTCTGTGAAACCTTCCCACCAAACAACTACAGTTCCAATGTTACTAGTGATATGTAACTCAGGAAAATGTATTAAAATCTTTAAAACCCATCTTGCTTTTGACTTCTTTGTTTACTATAATCAGATAATGAGGTTATTCACTGATATCTTAACTTGTGATTCCTGGAAATGTGGTAATGACTGTATGTGTGTGAATCCAGAAGACCAATCCATGAACTACGTTTAGATTTTTTTAAAGCACACACACCAGAAAAAGAATATAAGGACACATCAAATTTAGAGAGTGGCAGTAACATCTTTTTCCTGAACTCCACACCTAATCTAGAATGTGCATCAAAATAATCTAAAAATCCCATGTAACCCATCACCTGTCCTCAACTGCTCTTCTAGGCTTTTTGGATACTGACAACCAAACTACAGTTATTTCTATTTAGACTACTGAGCTCCAGACGTTAATATTCCCAAGAATCTGACCACTCTTATTTTCTTTGTCACATGATCCACACACCAAGGAAATTAAATCAAAAGCAATAAATATTCACAACACCCATGCAGAAACTTGATAACTGAGGTCAAGTGTATTTTTGCCTAATTTTAACTTAATCCACTTTGTCATTGTTGGATATATTAGACTTTCTCACCTCTATTCTCTCTCAAAGGAATATTGAGTAAAGAGCATATTAAGTCAAGCCAGATCCAGTTCCAAATGATCTTCTGGTCCCCAGAACGTTCACTTTCCTAACTTGACCATTACCCAATGGACACTACCAATTTCATATATTTTCACTGAATTTGTTGTGTTACATCTACAACACCCTCCATTTCCCTACCCACCCCCAGGAACCCAGACTGACTCCAGAAACCCAAATTTGTGCTTATTTTTCATTATTTCACCTTCTGCAGATAGGGTGGTGTTTCCTTTCACTCTAGACATGAGGACGCAACGGCTTTATATCCCCAAATGGAATTCCCCCTGCCCTACCTTGACATGGCCAGTTTCCGCTTGCAGCCCACCAGGTGATTTATTGGACGCTCTTCTTTCACCTTTGTATCATCCACGGCTTCTTTCTTCTCTTCTTTTACACACTCTCCATCCATCACCTCCTCTTTTATGCACTGACCAACAAACTTCTCCCGTTTTATCTGCAAGTTATCCTTCTCTTCCTTCACTTCTGGCCAGTCCATTACCTCTTCCTTCACCTTCTCTTCCTTTACCTCTGGGTCATCCACTTTCTCTTCTTTTACCACTAAACTACTATTCGTCTCCTGCTTCACCTCCAATACGCCTGCGTTCTCATCCTTCACCTCAGGCCTATCCTCCACCTCCTGTTTTACCCACTGGCCAGCCAACCTGCCTGCGGTATCTGGCCAGTCCATAATTTCCTCCTTCACTACCGTTAGGTCCATTGGTATTTCCACTGGCCTTTGTCCACTTCCTTCCTCTCTATCCCTTATCTTCTTCATCCCTGTCAGTCCTTTCCCCTCCTCTCCGCCGCCGGCCTCCTCCGCCCCTGCTAAGTCCCTGACTCCCTCCCTCCCAGACTCTGGACTTAGCCGCACCCCCTCAGCTACACTTTGGAGACCTCCGCCAGACTTCCCTTCATTTTCAGCAGCAAACTCCATCAACTCACGATCCTTGGCCTCTGCTGCCACTCTGTCCTTCAGCGTGGCTGCTGCACACCAACAGGAGGAATTACCGGCCGGAATACCTACAGCGGCCCACGTGCGGAGACAAGCAGCCAAACGCCCGGAATAACCTGCTTGACGCGACAACTCGAATCGCCGTAAAGCAACGCTTTTGCGCCTCGCCACTTCACGACTTGTAGAGCTCTTTACGGCTCTGCGGCGGACCTGCCAGATTGTTCGCGGGAACCTGAGTAAACTGCGCGGCTTGCCCACTGGGATTCCCGCCTCCCGCCTGGATTCCGCCCCACCGTTCCTCTAGGGAAACCTCCTGGGCCACATCCTAGGCCACCTTTCACGCCCTACTGGGTGTGAAGAGTAGAGGAGCCCAGCGGACGGAGAGAAGTAAAACCCTTAGACTCTCGAAATGGGAAAGCCCACTCTAATCTGTTAAATCCAATCCAATTAAATCCAATCTTGAATGAAAGTGGAGGACACACCTGACGCTAAGTCTTTCCAAGCTGTAGTTTCTTAAGGCTGTAACTTAAGGACCATGGTATTAGTAATACAAATCTCCTCGTATCATTGCGAAGATTATGAGATTATACATGGGAATCAACTAGCAGCGACGGACACAAACTCAATATATACAGTAACTGGGAATCCTGATGGGTTTCAAGTAGGAAAGAGGGCATGAACTTTTTTTCCCATTCTTTCTCTGTAACAGCCTACGTCAGGCTGTTCCCCATTCCCAGCATGCTGCCAGATTCAGAGAACATGATAGGTATTATCAGTTATTTGATTATAGATGTCGTTGTGAATTTAATTTGCGTTTCTTTAATGATTAATGATGTTGAACATTTTATCATGTGCCAACTGGCCATTTATATATTTTCTTTAATGAAATGTTTATTCAAATTATTTTTTGCACATTTTTAATTGACGTCTTTTATTATCAAATTGTAGTCGTTTTTCATATATTATGGATATAGGTTTGTGGTAGACAAGCACCGATATGTTCAATGATCACCCTTTCCCACCTCGCCCCCATGTTCACGTGTTCAGACCAAGGTGTAGACTGCTGCATCATCGCAGGATTAGTCTGAGTTACTGATAGCATACAACGGAAGTGTTACCTCTAAGATTAGGTTTGAAAAAAGGCTGTGATTTCTCCCTTAGGCCCTTGTTCTTTTATTCTCCTTCCTAGATCATTCACTCTGGGGGAAGCAAGCTGCCAGGTTGTGAGTACCAAGAGGCCCATGTGGCAGGGGGCCGAAGTTACTGGCTCTTACAGGCTGAATTTGTGTCCCCTCAAATTCGTGTGTTAACTCCATTATACCCAATACCTCAGACTGTGGCTATATTTGGAGATAGGACCATTAAAGGTGATTTCATTAAAATGAGACCATTAGGGTGGGCCCTAATCTAATCTGACTGATATCTTTATAAGAAGAGGAAATTTAGACACAAAAAGAGACACCACGGAGGTCTGCAGAGAGAAAAGACCATATGATGATACAGTGAGGTGACCGACTGCATGTCAGCGAGAGAGGCCCCAGAGAAAAACAAGACTGGTGACAACTTGTCTTGGAGTTCTAGCATCTAGAACTGTGAGAAAATAAATTTAAGCCACTCAGTCTGTGCTATTTCATTATAGTGGCCTTGGCAAACTAATGCACTAGCCAATAACCAGCAAGGAATTTCAGCTTGTCAACAGCATATGAATAAGTTTGGAGGAAGATTCTCTAGTCCTACTCCAGCTTTACATGACTGCAGCTCTGGCCAACAACTGCACCCAGATTCCAGACACTCAGAAATTGTGTGAGAGGATAAATATTTGTTTTAAACTGCCAAATTTCTGGATAATTGATACAATGAATACATAATACCAATTCCTTGTATGGTTTGGAAATATTTTCTCCCAGTCTGTGGCTTTTCCTTTTCTTAGTTGTGTCTTTAGGAGAGCAAAAGTTTTACACTTCAATTAAATCCAGTTTATCTATTTTTATTTTTTGAGGCAGAATCTCGCCCTTGTCACCCAGGCTGGAATGCAATGGTGCAATCTCTGCTCACTGCAACCTCTACCCCACCAGTTCAAGCGATTCTCCTTCCTCAGCCTCCCAAGTAGCTGGGTCTACAGGCACGCGCCACCAAACCTGGCTAATTTTTTTGTATTTTTGGTAGAGACGAGGTTTCACCATGTTGGTCAGGCTGGTCTCAGACTCCTGACATCAGGTGATCCACTCACCGTGGCCTCTCAAAGTGCTGGGATTACAGGTGTAAGCCACTGCGACCGGCCTCTCAGTTTTTAAATGAATGGTGCTTTTTGTGTCACACTAATAACTTTTTGCCTAGCCCAGGGTTGCAAAGGTTTTCTCCTATATTTTCTAGAAGTTTTATAGTTTTAGCTTTTACATTTAGGTCTATGATCCATTTTGAGTTGGTTTTTGTAACTAGAGTCATCCTTCTGTATCTGCGGGGGATTGCTTACAGGACCACCACAGATCCAATTAATGCTCAAGTCCTACAATCTGCCATCTGCATCCACAGTTCCACATCTGTGGTTCCACCAACTGTGGATCAAATGTGGTAGAACTAAGCATATGGATGGACAAGGTAATGGTTTAAGTTTCTACACGTGGATATCTTATTGTCCAATCACCGTTTGTTGAAGACAATTCTTTTTCCTTGAATTGTCTTGGTATTTAAAAAGAATCAATTGACAAAAAAGATAAGGATTTATTTCTAGACCTTATATTCTGTGTCATTGATCTATATGTGTATCTTTACACCAATACCACACTCTTATTATAACTTTATAGTAAATCCAACTTTCTCCTCCTCCTCCTCCACTTCTACCTCTTCTTCTCTTCTTCCTCCTCCTCCTCTTCCTCTTCTTCCTCCTCTTTTCCTTCTTCTCCTTCTTCTATTTCTTCTTCTTCCTTTCTTCTCCTCCTTCTTTTCTTCTTTCTTCCTCCTCCTCCCTGTCCCCCTTCCTCCTCCCCCTCCCCGCATCCTCTTCCCCCTCCCCACATCCTCCTCCTTCTTCTTCTTTTTGTTCAGGCCAGAGTGCAGTGGCATGATCTTGGCTCACTGCAACCTCTGCCTCCCAGGTTCAAGCGATTCTCCTGCCTCAGCCTCCCGAGTAGCTGGGATGACAGGCATGTGCCACTGTACCTGGCTAACAACTTTCTCTTCTTTTGAAAATTGTGCTGGCTATTCTTGGTTGTTGGCATCTCTGTATAAACTTAGTGTCCGCTTGTAAATTTCTACAAAAGAACTTGTTGGGATTTTGATAGGGATCGTGTGGAATATATAGGTAAGTGTGGGGAGGATTGTCATCTTAACGACATTGTGTCTTATCCATGAAAATTAAATATCATCGATTTAGATTGTCTTTAACTTAACAATGCTTTGTAGTTTTCAGTGTACAAGGTTTTTTTTGTTTTGTTTTGTTTTTTTGAGACTGAGTCTTCTGTCATACAGGCTGGAGTGCAATGGCCTGGTCTTGGCTCACTGCAAACTCTCCCTCCCATGATCTAGGGATTCTCCTGCCTCAGCCTCCTGAGTAGCTGGGATTACAGGTGCCCACCATCACACCCGACTAGTTTTTGTACTTTTAGTAGATATGGGGTTTCACCATGTTGGCCAGGCTGGTCTTGAACTTCTGACCTTGTGATCCTCCCGTCTTGTCCTCCCAAAGTGCCGGGATTACAGGTGTAAGCCACTGCGCCTGGCCTTAGTGTACAAGTTTTTACGTATCTTGTGCTAAATTCATTCCTAAACATTTTATTCTTGATGTGAGACAGGGTCTCCCTCTGCCACCTAGGGTGGAGTGTCATGGCACGATCATGGCTCACTGCAGCCTTGACCTTCTGGGTTCAAGCTATTCTCCCACCTCAACCTCCCCAGTAGCTAGGACCACAGATGCATGCCACCATGCCTAGCTAAATTTTTTTTGGTACTTTTTGTAGAGATGGGGTTTCACCATGTTGCCCAGGGTGGTTTCAAACTCCTGGGCTCAAGGGATCTGCCCACTTCAGCATCCTAAAGTGCTGGGATTACAGGCATGAGCCACGGCACCGACATTGACGTGATTTTGAATGAAATTATTTAATTTGGGATTTTCCATTGCTAGGATGCAGAAGTACAATTTTTGTATTTTGATTTCATATCCTGCAACTATAATAAACTCACATGTTTTATACTATCTCTACATAATTGGATTCAATTAACTTATATTTTGTTTTGGAGTTTTCATCTATGTCTATGAAGGATATTTATTTATCTGTAGTTCTTTTTTCTTGTAAAGTTGTTAGGTATTGTTACCAGAGTTTGCTGCATATATTTTACCTTTTATGTTTTCCATCTCTTTTTTTTTTCTTTTGGAGTCTCACTCCATCACCCAGGCTGGAGTGCAGTGGCACAATCTCAGCTCACTGCAACCTTTGCCCCCGGGTTCAAGCCATTCTCCTGCTTCAGCTTCCTGAGTAGCTGGGACTATGGGCACGCCACCAGGCCTGGCTAATTTTTTGTATTTTTAGTAGAGACGGGGTTTCACTATATTGGTCAGGCTGGTCTTGAACTCCAGACCTCGTGGTCTGCCCACCTCAGCCTTCCAAAGTGCTAGGATTACAGGTATGAGCCATCGTACCCGGCCTACATTTTCCATCTCTTTATTGCTTCCAGATAACTTTCTGGGAGAGTTCTCCAAGTAATTTTAATTTCTACCTTACTATTTTGGTATATGATGGTATGCAATCTGTTAGTCAACCTACTAAGTTCATTTCATTTACTATGTTTTTCATAACCATTATCTCTAGCTTATTATTGCTTCATATTTCTAATATTCCTCTTTATCTCTCTGAAGCTATTCCTCTAACTCATTTTATCTTATTTATTTTTTTGACATGAAGGCTCACTCTGGTCGCCCAGGATGGAGAGCAATGGTGTGATCTTGGCTCACTGCAACCTCTGCCTCCCAGGTTCAAGCAATTCTCCTGTCTCAGCCTCCCATAGCTGGGATTACAGGCACCCACCACCACGCCCAGCTAATTTTTATATGAGACAGAGTTTCACCATGTTAGCCATGGTGGTCTCAAACTCCTGACCTCAGGTGATCCACCTGCCTTGACCTCCTAGCATGCTGGGATTACAGGTGTGAGCTACCATTCCTG